CCCGTTACTCCCCCGTCGGTCGGTCGCGTTGGCGAGTCGTCGAGGGGGGGGGCGGAGGTTCGTACTGCCGCGCAGAGCGGGACGGACCACCCGCCGAACCTTTCCGACGCGACGACGCCGCCGCCGCCGCCGCCGCCGCCGGTGGTGGTATCCTTGTACGACCATTCGGAACGGTGGAGCAGGTGGGATTTGAGGAAACGGTATTCGAGCGATGTCGGCGTCGAGGTGATGAGGTGTTTCGCGCCGTTGATGGGTGAGAGGCTTGGACTGTTGCACGCCCCCAAGAAGGCGAGTGACGATGCAAAACGAGGAAAGGGGCCATGGGAGGCGTCAGATCGGTTCCGCCTGAGCGAGGGAACGAGGGAGCGAGGAGCGAGGAGCGCGGTACTCACTCTTGAGCCATGCGCACACGCACAGGCACGTCGAGGGGCGCCAATGCCCTCAATTCGTCCCGCATCCTCCTTTCCAGCCCTACCATCCTCGCACACCCGCCGATGAGCAGGATGTTGGACCACGCCATCTCGCGGTACGTCTCGGGCATCGCCGCGATGGCGTCCGAAACCAGCTCCGCCACGCCGCACTGGTCCAGCCCCACCAGCCTCGGATCAAAGAGCGATTCCGGCACCGTGAACCGTTCCGTCGTCAGCGTCAGGATCTGCTCGCCTGCCTCGGCGTCGTGCGATGGGCTGCTGCTGCCCCGCCCCGATGACGACGACGAGGATGCCGTCGAGGCGCGCCGGCGTTTGCGTGCGTGCGCTCGTGCCGAGTTGGAGGCGGGGGACGAGGGCGAGGAAGGCGGTACCGTGCCGATGAAGGCGTCGGTTCGTCGGCCTTGGTCGTCGTCCGGCACCGAGCTGTGCCCAACCCCACCGCCATCCTCGTCATTCCTTCGCTGCCATCGGTCCCGCTCGTCTTTGCTTCCCGGCCCGCTCTGGATGTAGCCGTACAGCTCGTCATCGCTCTGCGGCACCGTCTCGTAGTCGGGCAGCTTCCACTCCTGCCGCAACCGACCTCCGCCCGTCGCCTTGCAGTACTCGATGAGCTCGGCGAAGGTCCACTCGCTCGGCCGCCGCGCCTGCATGTCCCGGACGATTCGGTCTCGGCCCACGCTCGAGGGTGCTCGCGGGCTGGCACCGCTGGCGGCGGCGACAAAGCAGCACCGTTCCTTTACGACGTTGGTGAGGTAGGTCTCGTCCATCATGTCCCACTGGCGGAACGAGAGCGTCTCCTTGAGCAGGTTGGTGAGCAGCTTGCCGCCCAGGTCGAGCCGCCGCACGGCCGACCAGCACACGTCATTGCGGACGAGCGGGACGGCGTGTGTATAGCTGAAACCGAGATCGACGACGACCGTGCACTCCGGCCGCACCAGCTTGAGCCGTCTGGCCAGGGTGCTGGCCGCCGCGGGTGTGGCAGACGCGGATGGGCGCGATCGCGTCTTCTTGGGGGGTGGTGGGGTCGAGGTGGCTGTCGCCGCCGCTGCCGCTGCTGGACCAGCTGGCGATTCTTTCTGCGCTCGCTGCGCCTCGGCCCTGTTTGCGGCGGCGGAACCGGGCGGGTTGGCCGAGTTTGCCTCGTCCCAGACGGCGAGCTGTGCGGGCGTGCACCGCCAGATGGCGTCTGCGCCGTACTCTTCGAAGAGGACCGTATCGAGGGCGTCTTGCTCTTCCGCAAAGTCAAAGTAGGGTTCTGTGACGATGACGGTCTTGCCCTCTAGCAGCCTGGCTTTTGCCTTTCCCTTGGGGTCGCCCGACGCTGCGGCAGGGAGGGCGAGGAGGTGGCGGAAGGCATCGTCCCAGATGAGCTTGAGGGCGGGCCAGTCGATGATATGGCCCCTCTCAAAGGGTATGCGCAGGTGCAGGCCGCCCAGATCCTTGCATGAGGCCGAAAAGGCGGCGGGTAGGTACGTGGTCCGGGTTGACCGGGAGCGGCCGATAAAGTTGGGCAGGACGAGAGGGTGGGGGACAGCGGTGGACCAGAGGCGGAGGTGGGATGCGCCGTTGTCGAGTACGATGATGTCTGATGCCGAGGGTGCGAACGTTGAGGAGGAGGACGCTGTTGGCATAGCGTGTGCTAGCGTGCCTCGGGGCTGGTAGTAAGATCGTGGTGACGGTGGTGGTGGTGGTGGTGGTGGTGGTGGTGGTGGTGGGTCGAGAAGCATCAGCGGGTGCAGGCGGGTGGCCCCCCAGCAAGGCCAGAAGGACCGCCAGGGCCCAGCCAGAGTGTGGAGGCCTTGTCCGACTTCCGAAGATTTTCTCGGCTGCTTCAGAGGTGGCCGCCACCGTCTTCGGACCTTCATCTCCACGCCACCACCGTCCTTGCCTCCTCTCCCTGCCCGCTCCTCTCCTTCCATCTTCAGCCGCTGCACCGCAATGTCGTTCGGTCGACCACCTACATTCTCCAACTTCTCCGTGCTCCCACCAGAGCGCGGCAGCTTCCCGCTCGACCACGAAGGTGAGGCCCTCTCCTTCCTCTTCGTCTTCTCGTCTCTCAGACTGACCCTTCCCCTCTGACTAAAACGGTACCGACAACGCAGGCGAATGCAAGCAGGTGATGGTGGATTACCTCCGATGCATGAAGGACAATAGGGCCGACAATGGAAAGTGTCGACAGCTCAGCAAACAGTACCTCCAGTGCAGGATGGACAAGTGAGTCGTTCCTCCCTCCGTCCCTTCGTTCGTCCGTCGGTCGTGGCGCAGCCCCCACCATCGATCTGCACCCCCGACCATCATACCATCGCTGTCGCTAAACGCATAGTACGTTTCCTCTCTCTCTCTCTCTCTCTCTCTCCTCTCTC